ACTGTCCAACCCTCCCTAAGTGCCCCGAGGATCCCTCCCCGAGGTCGCAGAGCCCCCACAGACTCACCCCACACCTGGTCACCTGCACAGGTGAGTTTATTGTTCCACAACACGGGCCCAGGCAGGGTGAGAGCAGCCACCCACCCCGTGGGACGACCCCCCCATACCCACCCAACTCCCTGTGCTCTGCTCTGGTTTCACTGACATCCTGGCCCAGTCCCTGCCAGGGGCTCAGGTAGCTCCAGGAGGGAAGGGGAGCAGCAGCAGGAACCCCTGAACCCCTGTGGCTTCCAGGTCCTGCCTCACAGTGCTTCTATTTACAGAAGTTACAGCAATTGCAGATAGAGTTTTTCTCTCTGTGGCCCAATTAGACAAATATTCTACCTATGTATCATATAAAAAATACAGAGATTTGCCTTTTTTTTTTTGGAGGGGGGGGAAGTAAAATGTACATTTATCCAACTGTGAGCAGGAGGTAAAGCTGAAAACTCAAGCCTGGTGCTGCTGGAGCTCACATAGGTAGAGCCAAGTCTTTTCCCAAACCAACCCAAAGCAGGAAAAAAAACCCCAACAACACCCCCCCCTCCCCAGAATTCAGACCATGTTTCTCATGGAAAATAATTTCAAGTAAAGGTGAAGGTGGGTTCAGCATTTCAGAGCTCTGGTGTCAGTCAGTACAATGCAAACCAAACCTGTGCAACAGCAACTGCTCCAAAACATCCACCCTAGCTCAGGTCCCAACTTTGGGCTCTTGGTGCTTTTTAATCCTTGGAAATAGCACTAGCAGTTCTTCAAAAAACAAACAAAAAAATTCTAAACCAAGGGAAGCAGCAGGAAAAAAAAAAATCTTCCCAAGAGTGGGAGAACTTCCCATTTTAATGTCCATTTTCAGGGAACTCAGACTGGGTTCACCCAGGAGTATCCACTGAAGGAGAAAGGCCAGGGCTGAACTTTGCTCTTGGCAAATCAGTCTTTAATAAAGAGTAACATGTGCAAAAAAAAAAAAAACACAACCCAACAAAAAAAACCCCAACTGAATGAATTAAATAGCTCAAGGCCTGTTTTGCAGTGGCTGTGGGAGAATTCTCCCTCCATCCTCATCCTCACCCAGCTGAGACCTCAGCCAAGTCCCCGAGGCCACAACTGCCTGTGTGGGGAGAACAACCACCACAAAGCACACACCACCATGAGGTGCCACCTGTCACCTCCATGTCCTGCCTCCACCCCTTTTCCTGCCTCCAAGCCAGGTGTGCAGCAGCCCAAAGAACCCAGGGAAAGCCAATCCCTTTCTCTCCACCAGGACAAAGAGCTGTTTGTATTGGTTTGAAGGAAGAAGAGTTCTCTTGACAAGTGGAGTAGGTGGTGGTTCAGCCTTCCCAGCAAGAAGAGGATGCTGCTCCCAGTTGCTTTCCAGAAGAGTTTGTGGTGTTTTTTGGGATTCTCCCCAGGGCACATTATAGCTGGAAGCCATCCATGGGGCCTTCAGGTTGCTGGAAGATGTATTGCTGCTGGTTCTCATCCACCTGAGGAGCCACAGCTGAGTCCTCCTCCACTCCAAAGTAGTGCTCAATCAGGTCAAAGGCCTTTTGGTAGATTTCCTGGTTCTCGTGGCTCTGCAGGAATTCTATCTTATCCAAACCTTGGAGGGAAAGATAGTGGAATGTGAAGAAACCAGATCCTGCAGTTGTTTTCCCTGTCCCACATCCTCCCTTGTCCCTAACACCTCTGTGTTAGATTTGCACTCCTGACACCTAAATCCAACTATTCCAGAGCTGCTTCCCTCTCAGGAAGCTTTAATGCCTTCCCAAAGGCAGGTTGAGCTCACCCAGAGGTGTTCCCTGCTGGACACTACACCAGATTCCAGTGCCAGGAAAAAAATGGCTGTAAGGAATTTGGGAGCAGCAGGGCCTGGCCCAGTAGCCTCCAGCTTTGAGCTGTCCTAATTAAATCCACAGCTGCCCAGAAAGCATCCAAGCAGGATATACCCTCAGGAATTCCAGGAATTAATCTTGCAGAGAGAACCAGGACACAGAGTGTAACAGTCAGGGAGAGGACAAAGCAGCTCACAGGGAGTTTCAGACCAAAATAGGAACTTGTTCCTCAAAGCATTGAGAACAGGACAAAAAAAGATCCATCACCACCAAATTAAGCCTCTCCAGGGAAAAGCAAAGTCTCCCTGGATTTCTAGTGTTCAGCTGGGTAGTTAGAGCAATTTTAGGCCTAGAATTGTCACTTTTCACTTAGCTCAGCTCATTGCTGGTTAATATTCCCACCTGGAGCAAGACAGAGTTATCACTTGGCCTCCAGGCCTTGGGAGCTTGGATCAGAGCTCTGATGGTTTGTACTTCGAAGTATTTTCTCCTTGTTTTGCTCCAAGTATTTTCTATTTAAGGAGAAACTGGATGTGGCACTAAGTGCCATAGTCTGGTCTATGGTCACAGGTTGGACTTGAAGATCTCAGAGGTCTTTTTCTGAGCCTGTGATTCTGATTTTCTCTGATTCTCCTCAAGCAAAAAAAAAGCAACTTTGGAACAAATATTGGCTATTTTGGAATATACTAAACCCCTTAACACAACAAAGAACCAACAGATCATCAATACCACAGTGCCCTCAGCCCCCACCTACCATAGGCCTCCTCGATCAGGCTGCAGTAGGGATTGACTCCTGTCCCACTCTGGTTGACTTCTTGCTCTCCCAACCTCAGGATGTTCTCCAGCCCATTCAATGCCACCAGGACAATCTTGGAGTCCATGACAGTCAGTAGATCACACAGGGGTTTGATACAACCCAAATTCACCAGATATCTGAGGAGAGAGACAACACACACCTCAGGGTCAGGGGCTGGGAAGCATCAGCTTTGCTCCATCCAGAACAACAAAGGAAATGAGGCAAACTAAAGCACGTGAATTTACCATAAAATATGTATTTACTGCTCTGCAAGGTTGATTTTTATCCACTTATTTGCACTTACATACTCATCCCCCTTTTCCAGCAACCTCTCTCTTTTATTTTTCTTAGGAAAAGGAGCTACTTTTGGAATCCAAGTGCTGCTAAAATTAAATCCACACTGGAATTTAATCTGTCATCAGGTTTGGACATTTACCCTTATCTAAGCTGCCCAAAGGAGAGTGGAGAAGGTAGTTTGGAATAGATTAGCCTTATCCAAAAGGATTTACAGCAGTGTCTGATCCACTTAAGGCTCTGTCTGGGTCTCAGGTGCTCTCTGGAGCTTCTCCAAACTCCTCTCTTGCCTTGCAGCTCCCCTGGAGGCAAAACTCTCAGGAATTGAGGCAGATTTCCCCCAGGAGAAGGCCCAGGAGTACCTGATCTGCTCAGGAGTTCCTCCCGACGTGGCGTTGGTGATGGCCCAAGCTGCTTCTTTCCTTGTGCGGAATTCTGCCTTCTGCAGGATTTCTATCAGCACTGGGAAGATGTTGGCATCTATCACTGCCTGAGGGGGGAGAGAGAACAGGGAGAAAGGGTTGGGATTGGCAACATGTTCCCTAAAAGAACCTGTAACAAAGCTCTACCTTCGCTTCCCCATGCAAAAAACTTCCCAGTTGGACCCTTATGTGATTCCTCTTGTTTTGATTCCTCAGCCAAATCCTATTAACAGGAGATATTCCATAACTAGCACAACAGACAATCCCTATTATGGCAGCTATGCTGTGGGAATGCTTCCAGCACTGAGCTGCTTCCTATGTAGGTCAGGAATTGCAACTCAAGGAGCTCCAGCTCTTCCAAGGGATTGAACAGGGAAACAGGGAGGAATAGGAGCTCTATCTCCTCTTATCCCAATGATCCAGCCTGTGGGAATCATTTCAGGCTGCTCTGTGCTGGTGTCATTCCTAAGCTCTTTTCCAGCTCCTTTGGCAGATGTTTGGAGCACTAAATCACTGCAGGGTTAAGAGATGTGAACAAACCCAACCTCAGGTGAGGGAAAAGCTGCAAATCCCTAATGCTGAGCTTGGAAGGTGGGATCACCTGCAGAGGCTGTACCTGTATTTGTGCTCTGTTTCCTGCTGTGATGTTGGATATAGTCCAGCAAGCTTCTTTCCTGATGGATTCCTTGGGACTGCTTAATAAATGAAGGAGACAAGGCAGTGCTGAGCAGTTTAGAATCACCTTTGGAGAAAGGAAGCAGAAGTGAGATCAGCAGTGCCAGGGATGGAGCTGATGGACACTGCATTCCCTGCAGGAATGTCCTCTCCTCTCACCTGGGTCTGGATGTCATCTCCTGTCACGATGTTGCCAACTGCTCTCAGAGCTGGAGAGGCCACTTTGTAGTCATTGTGCCTGCAGGAAGATGATAAAGGACACAAATCCATCAGATCACTGGGATGTTTGGAATAGTCTCTGCCCAACATCTCACCTGCATTATTTCCTCAGCATTCCATCCCCTGGCATATGGAATCCCACAGTCAGTTGACTGTATAGCCACTGAAAACAAAGCTGCAATGTAGTTTCATCCTTTACATCCCAATTCTCTCTATTTTCCATATGGATGCCCATTTTCCATATAGATATTGGAGACAAATCCACACTGACTTTGGTTAACCATCTCTTTTTGATTTGCCTAGTCACTGGGCTCCACAGCACAGCTGGAGAGCACAAGACACTGCAATGCACAGAGCAAAAGTGTCAGTTTGACCTTTCCTTAATGAGCTCTTCCCACTTCATCTACTTGGCTCACACTCCTATGGTCCAACTGCAGAAATTTCTAGGGATAAGGTTGCTTTTATCAGTGAATTTGTAATTTGGGGGAGTGATGTTGAGACCAGCACAGGTGTCTTTTCACCAGTGTAGAGTATAACCAACTGGAAAACACTCAGTTGGCTCAAGTCAAACTCAACCTCCTCCAGATTCTCCTCAGCTTCAGCTGACCTTCACCTGAAGTTGGATCAGCTGGATCATCAGCTGGATCCTGTGTGCACAGGAGTGTTCTGAGGGGACTGATATGGAGCCACACTCCCTCTCCTGCTCCCCAGGCTGACAGGGCAGGAGCAGCAGGACCAGATACTCACATTAAGAGCTCCACCAGCCGCCGACACACCCCAGAGTCCACAACTGCCTGGATCTTCTCATTGGGCCCATCTGACAGGTAGGACAGAGCCCAACAGGCATCTGCCAGCAGGTCAGAGTCACTGTTGAACAGCAGCCTGGACAGCACTGGCAGGCAAGGAGACACCTGCAACAATAAACACCATAGGGATCAGGAGCTGCCCAGAGCCACCACAGCTGCAGAGAAACCTCCTGAGAAAAGTCCTGAATGTCCATAGATTCTTCCCCCTAGTCAGTAGCTTCTTCCCTGTGCTGGTTCACACACCTCCTGGTCAGTGTCCAGAGACACCTCAGCAGCTTTGTTGCTACAGCCAAATTACATCTCTTGCTCTCAGACCAAGTCTAGACACCTGAAACAAGTGTCACCACTGTCTGGAAGCTTCTCACATTCCTGTGTAAGAGTTCTGCTCCACTTTTGGCTCCTAAAACCCCCCAAACCAGCTCAATATTCCAAGCAGCAACCATCAAATTACACCTCTGAGTACTTGGCTAAGTGGGTTTATATTCCCATTCAATTGAGATTTTTTTTCCCCTCACCACAGGCTTCCCAGTGTTTACTCATGTACTTTCACTAAAAACAAGTGAAAACACAGATTTAGAGCATTTCTGTCCTACCAAAGAAGGATGAGAGGCCAAGCAGGACCTCTGTTAGGTTCCCAGAGAAAGGGAAGGTACCACAGCTCCTACATAGCTACAGGAACCTGTTTGCAGCATTTTGAGGCCTTAGAATAGTCATAATTTGAGTAAAGCCTCAAAATTTCAGAGTTCATAACTAAAGGGTTTGGAGAAGCCTTGCAGGAATTCTGAGCTTACCCCTCACTTGAGGGTTCAGCTGATGGCAGAGCATTAAACTGGTCCTCAAACATCTGCTCAACAGCCACATCAACCTCAGCAGGAGGAACCTCACCCTGTTCCCTCCTGGAGTGACTTACACAAGTCCCAACAGCCCAAACTAACTTAGCCACCTGAGCTGGGTGTTTCCCCACCACCTGTGAGCCACAGGGTGTCTGTTCTCACCTTCTCAAAAGCAGGTGGTGGACTCTTTCCTCTGCACAGGTTTGACAAGGCCCAGACAGCATTTCGTGTCATTGTCAACCTGGTGGACTTGGTGAGGAGCCTGAAGAGAGAGTTACCATGGATTACAATCCATGTGGAAGCTGAGGGGACCAAACCAACTCAAACCAGTGTGATTTTATGGAAGTCAAAGCACTGTTTCACTGGGTGTAGCTCAAGCCATGCTGCTTGTCACTTGAGCCTCTCAACAAGCAAGAAATGACATGTGACTAATTCTTAGGACAAACAGCTCTAAGTCCTAACAATGCCAAGGCATATGGGGCAGGAAGGCAAGTTCCACTTTAGACAGGAGCCAAGTGCAGTTCCAAGTTCCAGTTCAGCCCAGGGAGATGCTGAGTCCTCACCACAAACAGGTGACATGAACTGCTCAGTCTCAGCTCTGAGCAGGACAGCGAGTCCTGTGGGTGAGCAGTCACAGCCACCACTGCTGACAGGAAAACAAGTCATTTGGAACAAAGCCTCAGTTTGCCAGGGATGGGATGAAGACGAATTCCTTCCAGAGCAATGAGAGCCCTGAGAGACAGATCTGAGTTCAGTGGGTGTGCACCACACCAAGGGAGGTGTTAGCCAGACCTGCTCCCTCTCCTCTGTCCCAGAAAACCCACTCCAAGGCCCTGAAATCCACAGCACAAGCAGAGAGCTGAGGGACACCCAGTGACACAGCAAGCCCTGTGACTCCAGAAGGACAAGCAGCACCCACTTCACACCCAGAGCAGTGTAAAGGTCTGTGAGAAGACATGTGATCCACTCTGCTTATCAGATCCTTGTCTGAACTGGGAATTCATCTGGCACCAATGGTTTGATTCCCAGTGATCACCACCACTCAATTCCAGGGAATCTATTGGCCCAGCTCCAAAGTTGCATCTGTGGTACAATGGGATTCCAAGAACTGCATTGGCCAAGTGTTCATGGCTACTCACATTAACAAGGGAGGAAGGATAGCGCAGTTAAGGACATAATCTCTACACACAGAGCTGTCTCCAGCAATGTTCCCCAATGCCCAGACAGCCTGAAAGGAAACAGCAACAGTTTTAGCATTCAGTTTCTAACAGAGGAAGAAACAGGCAGTGTGCTAAAGAAGCATTTTTTTTCCCATCATTTCAGGCAAACACCACTTGGATTTGTGGTCTGGAGCCACAGGTCACTCATTCATAACACTGCACTTTATCCACTGTACTTCTCCCACCATTCCCAAAGGAAGGAGTGGATCCTTACCTGTTCCTGAACATCCTCAAAGTCAGAGTTTAACAGCTCTATAAAGATAGGAACTGCCCCAGCCTCAATGACTATTTTGGTTTGTTGGGAAGTCCCTGATGCAATGTTTGTCAGTGCCCAAGCAGCCTCGAACTGCAACAAGCAAAGAGGTGACAGAGTGTGAGTAAAACAATCCTGATTTAGGGTCATTTTTGTCCTTACAGTTTGGCTATAATTCCCTCAACTTCTACTGAAGAGGGTGTGAGAGAAAGAAGCACATCACAGTTTCACAGTGTGTTAAGGGGTTGGGATGAACCTTAGGGATCATCTCTCAAACACATAATGTCACAGGAGAACACCTCAATACTCAGAGGGGTTTATGTTCTTGAGCAGTAAAACCAGTCCCAGCTACTAAAAACCTTCTCAGAGGCTACAGCTACTCCAAGGAGCAGCAAGTGAAGATGTCACACATCATTTCACCTCTACAACCACCTCCCAGCAAGGAAAGTGAAGTCACACAGTGCATGAACACACATGGAGTTAGAAAGTTTGCTGCATTTCACCTGACACCTCAAAGATGCCTCAAGTTCAAGTGAAGCTGAGCAGGAATTCCCTGATTTTCCCTTTCTTTTTTCAGTTCATCTAGCAGTGAAGCCCCTAAGGCAATGGCCTGGGGCCAGAGGGCAGGGAGAGGGATCAAAGCAGTCATCAACTTGGATGAAATTCCATGTATGGAAGTATCTTTAACCCCTCCAGAGTAACCAGAGTTCTTACCAAGCTGGAAGGAATCTCAAGCAGCCACTCAGTCCATCCCTCTGCCCTGGGCAGGAGCAGCACTGCTAACCCATTTCTAACAAGATTCTTGGCCTGGACTTAAAAGCCTCTAAGAACTGAGGTTTTTCCTCACCCCTCAGAAAAGAAATCATCTCAATTTCTTCCTATACATTTATTCTATGGCTTCACCTGCTCCCCGCAGGAATACCAGGCACAGGAAGGCCAAACTCTTTTCATTTTTGCCACCATTCTGCCAAGAATTTAACTCAGAGCCACTTAGAATCATCTTTTTTTTGCCTAAACATCACAGACTCCCTTTGTCTCCTCCTCTAGATCATATCACCTTCAGTTTTGGGGTCCAAAGCATCACTTTCCCCTGAGAGCACCTGTGGGTTCCTGTTGCTGAGCAAAGGTTACACAGCTACACAAGCACAAAGAATTCCCCACACAAACTCCTTTACCTGTAGTGTGCAATTTTCACTTCTTTTCAGGAACTCAACAAATCTCTCCACCACTCCCTGAGTGTTTATCACTTCATCTATTGGAGGATTTGGCTCTGAAACAGCAAAGCAGTATCAGACACTACAGAGGTCTCGTGCAGAGGAGGAACAAACATGAAATGTTCATCAGTTAACTCAAGGTGGTCTGAACTGGGCAAGATAAGCCTGCAGAGTCACTCTCTGGACAATTCAACTCTAAACCATTAGCACATTTAGAGATTCCTTCAAAGCTTCTGTACAGCAACACATGTGCACAAACCCTTGGAAAACAAAGGCTGTGTTGGATCCTGAGAAGGGAGGAGTTGTTTTTACCTTTGGAGAGTAACTTCCTGAATTTCTGAGTGGTTGTTAGCTGTAGGTCAGGGTCATCTGAGAAAAGCATCTCTACCATCTCTCCTGTGATTACTCCCTCCTAGAAGGGGGAAAAGAGACAGAAATGTGGTTCCACTTCAGACTAAGATTAAAGGCATCATAGACACAACATTCTACCATGATTTGTGCTTAGTTAGGAATCCAAAAAGCCAAAACTGGAGATTGCAGCAGGTTATTTACTTTCTGACAGACTTTTCCAGTTCACTGCAGTGGCATTTCCAGCATTTGGGTGGGGAATGGGTTAAAAGCAGAAGACCCTGGAGGAGGATTGTGGTCATGCTCAAGTGATGTTGCAGCTGAAATTAACCCTTGATAAACCAGTGTGAACAGCAGGATGGTGATTCCTGAGCATGGACTGAGTTTTCCAGGGGCTGTGGCTGTTTTGGTGTCCCTCTGGATCCTCCATTTGAGTAATGAATTTACCCTTTTCATTTTAGCCAAGGGTCAGTCAGTTCCATGCAATCATAGAACCATGGAATGGTTTGGGTTGGAAGGAACTTAAAGCTCATCCTATTCCTCCCCCTGCCATGGGCAGAGACACCTTCCACCAGCCCAAGTTGCTCCAAGCCCCATCCAACTTGGCCTGGAACACTCCCAGGGATGGAGAATCCACAACTTCTCTGGGCAACCTGTGCCAGTGTCTCAGCACCCCCAAAGCACTGAACCTCCCTGGAGGCACAACAAGGAAAGGTTTCTTACCCCACATGTTGAGGAGCTAATGGAGGAGTCCACAAGGAGACTATCAAACATGGAGTCATCTTCATTGATTGACTCCACATTCCTTCTTTTGAAGAGCTGGTGGGGAGCAAAACACAGGGATTGTTATTAGAAAGCAATGGTGAACAAGTTCCACACCTAGACATTCCTGTTCCTCAACCAAGACACCTTTAGCTCCACTGAATGTAACCTGACTAGCAGAGTGGCCATTAATAGCAGCTCTGCACTCTCAGGATGAGTTTGGCACACAAAGCCCAACAAGAAAACATGCTAAGTCTTGCTCTCAGATATGCAAATGCCAAAGTCACTGAGACTCTGGTACAGGCAAGTACAAATTTGACCTAACAAGTCAGGGGAACTGAGGAGTTTGTGGGTGATGCTCTAACAGAGCAAACGCTTAGTGTGAGCCACTGGAATCACCTTGTGCTTCCATAAACCTCCAAACCAAAAATACCTCAGGGTTAAGAAACATGGAGCCAATTCCTTCCCTTCCTCTTCTGCTTCTCAATGAAATCATCCCACTCACTAACTCAAAAACACCACCAAAAATCACCACAACAACGTTGGGTGTTTACCACCACCTTTCCAACCAAGGATCTGTGAACAAAAAAAAAAAAACCAAAAACCACCTCCAGAGCCCCAAGGACAAAGTGCTTGGCAAGTTCTTGGCGTGAGCTCAGTGTGGAGAGAGAGACACAGGCAAGATCTCAGTTAGAACAGGAAAAATAAGGACTGCCAACAAACCTTAATGCACAGATCCTTGAAGATTCCAGTTTGGCAGCAGCACAGTCTTGGCTGGGTTAAGGCTCTACACAAGCTAGTCAAGATGACAGTTACCTGTTGCTCTCGTTTCTGCTTGCGCAGTTGAATTCCTTCCTCTTCCCTTCTCCGGCGCATTTCCTCGGGGTTTAGGGCTTTGTTCTTGTAACTCCTCATTCGATAGTTTTCTGGGAAGAGAACACACCAACAGTTCCCCTCACTCTCTGCTCCCTTAGCCACAGATCCTGGCTGACCAGGAGCTCCATGCGCATGAAGCAGCATGGAATGGTCAGATGAAACATGTTTATTTGGTCACACAAAGGCACAACTAAACTCTACTCTGGGTTTCAGCAGAAATTATTTCCCCAAGTGTCATCCTGGTATAAAGCACACCTGGATATTTGTCTCCCTGGACATTTGGTTCCAGATAGTGGCAAAACCCAACAGAACTAAGACTTTGCCTTTATGCTAAGCCTGCAGGAACGGAGCTGTGGGTGAGGCACAGACCATGTCTGTCCCCCCAGGGGTTCAGCCCTGACCTATTTCTTTTGCTGCCTCACACTGATTCCTGCAGCAGTTCCAACCTGATTGATCACTGCTGTGTTTGCCTCCAAGTGAGGGAAGTGACACTCTTTGGCACAGTTGAAGGCAGTCATGGCCAAGCAGTAACCCAAGCAGGGAAAGGACATCAGTTCCTCAGTGCAATCCACAGCTCTGAGCATGTGGAGTCATCTCTTCAAACACAGGTTATTGCCTTTCCCAGGATAGGATGGAAGCATCAGGATAAACAGAGTCCAAACTAACCCTGAACCAAGTTAGTCCTCCAGAGCTTCCCTGGACACCAATATTTGTGGGGCAGGTGCAGTGTCCTGTGGGAGTTTGCAGTGTTATCTCCTCCCCCTTCAGCCTCACAGAAAACTTCAACTTATCAACTCCCTCCAGCCACTCTGGAGTCCTTCCAAGATCAACTGGAGAAGTTTGAGCCCTGAAAGTTCACAGCCAAGCCAAGAAATGACATAGACAACATCCAAACACCCAACGTGTCATTGCTACGGAAAGAGAAAACAACCGGCCAAATTAATAACTGAACAGGACCCAAAATACCTTCAGTTCTGTGATTTCCCAGAAACAGCTACAAATACATCAAAGAAGATGGAAATCTACAGGTTTAGATTTGGCTCATGCAGCCACACAGGAGAGGAAGAGTTGAAAGCTTCACTCGAACCAATTTCAGAATCTTCAACTCTCCTTTTGGAAAACAAAGTCCTCAATCGAAGCGTAGTTTTTAAGAGACAAAAGAGGAAAAAGTGAGGCCACGTGGGATTCCCAGGAAGGCTCAGGGACACATGACAGCTCAGCTGGCTCCAGGCTGGCACAGCCTCACTCAGGGACACTTGTCACCTTGCGCTTTAAAGCTTTTCTTTTTGTCCTCCCAGAACACTGGGGACTGCAGGGAAACCCCAAAGATACACCAAGCCCTGAGGAGTGGTTTTTCACATCACTGCAACAATCTATCACTTAATTTCCTCTTTTCTCTCCCACATGTTTCTCTCTTGGATGATTTCCGCTGATTTTTCCCTCTCCATCATCCATGTCAATGCTGAAATGACATGAGAATGCTAATTTGGGACATTCCACCCCATTGTCATGGCAATGGATGAGTGCAGGATCAGGACCTCCCAGGAAGCACCAATGTTTTAGGCCCCACAGACCGCAGCAAACCCCAGCACAGAGCACACAGCAGGATGCCAAACTCTTGACTTGCAGCATTTCAGTACCAAACATCCAGTTCAGCTGCAAGTCAGGCTTTGTGCTGACTATAAACTCCACTCCTGTCGGTGGAAATAGCTGCAAAATCCACTAAGTGAGGCTGTGGAGGGATGGAGAAGCAAAGCTCTGGATTCAACAGCTTCCAAATAGGAGCAACACTGGAGAATCTGTCGGTTACACCAAAACCTCACTCAAGAAAACAGCAAACACACTTGGAAGATTGACTCCATTTAAAAGAGTTCTGACTCAGCTTGGACAAAACATTCCTTCTGCCCTAGGCATCCCCTGACAGAGTTCCCAGTCTGTGCCTTTGGAGCCAAGCACCTCCCTGCATTGGTGACCTTCATTCACAGCAGCTCCAGGGGAAAACAGCATCAAGATTTGCATTTCAACAGTTCCATGGAGCATCCAAGCTCTGCACCTCCAATCACATCCTCCAACTATTAGCCCCAAGATGCCAAATCAGACATAAAATTTAGGGCTGACGCATGAAATAGATCTCAAGATTATCAACCTGATCAAGAGTTGTTTCTGTCTCCTGAGCAGAACTGGTGACTGTGGCTCTGCAGGGTCAGCTCTGATGAGCTGCTGGAATAAAGCTATGGAAAGCTCTGCTCGGGCACCGAAGAGCTGAACACTCCTGGTCCTGGATCAGAGAGACTTGTCTATCCTCAGGGAATCAGCAGCAACTGGAAAACTTGGCAGAGAGGCCAAAAGAGAACAGGAACAAGGTGAGAGAAGTTTGGTTTGGTTCTGAGCTACACAAGTGGCTGTGCAGGTGATGTGTAACTCCAGGTTAATCCAAACTGTATCTCCTGCCAAACCTTGGGATGAAACTCAAACAGTGCGTTTCCCATTCCCTATGCAAAGGAAACTCTCTCAGGAGATGGAAGAAATTTAGCTCCAGTTCTGTTGGCTTTACTGAGAGAAAAGAAATCCTCCAGCTGCCACGTGAGCCAAAGAATTCCCAGTCCAGGTTGCCACACTCATCCTTAAAAACTGAAGGCTGAAAAGGTATTTACCACTTCAAAGAAAGGAAGCACAGAGTGAAAGTTGGACTTGGAAGGCTCAGCAGAGCACTCAAATCCTGTCCAAAGCCAACATAAACTAAAGCAGAAAATGCAATTCCAGGGTTGCTGCTGCCATGCCAAGGTTCTAACAGCTCCCTGGTGCTCCTGAGTTAGGAATCCAGCCCTGCCCCTTCCCGAAGAGGCTCTTCCCATTCCTCTGCCTGACAGAAAGCATTTGCTGCAAACACTTTATTCAGCTGCTGATTAAACCCTCAGAGCTGAGTCACTGCAGGGATTGTGCTGCTGAGTCAGAGCCAAGGGACAGTGACACTGACAGACCTGACTTAGCTCTTTTCAAGCCAAATCTCCCTTTCCCAACGGGAATCTTCAGGAGGTGTCTGTTACAGAGCTGGGCATGGCACAGCCTGGCCAGGAGGGCTGACAGCTGCTGTGTGCAGTGGGGAATTATGCAAGTGTAAATAAATACACTTGATGAACACAGCAGCTCTGAGCTGCCAATTAGTGCCTGCTGGGTACAGCCAGAGCTTCCCAGCTCCGAGCCAGACCTGGGATAATGACCTCCAAGGCCACTTCCACTCCAGTGTTCCCTGTGAGAGCCTAACCTTGGTCACTTAAGATTAAACCTTCCTTAAGTGAGACAAGTAGCAGCAAAACACTTAAGGAACTATTCAGTTCCACTGGACAAACCTTACTGACCATATTCCTTAGGTTTCTCCTGCCCAAACCTTACTGAGCATATTCCTTAGGTTTCTCCTGCCCAGACCTTACTGACCATATTCCTTGGGTTTCTCCTGCCCAAACTTTACTGACCATATTCCTTGGGTTTCTCCTGCCCAAACTTTACTGACCATATTCCTTGGGTTTCTCCTGCCCAAACTTTACTGACCATATTCCTTGGGTTTCTCCTGCCCAAACTTTACTGACCATATTCCTTGGGTTTCTCCTGCCCAAACTTTACTGACCATATTCCTTGGGTTTCTCCTCCCCAGCTGGAAGTTTCTCCATGTCAAACACTTCCCTGTTATCCCAGAGGAGCCTCCCAGCTCCTCCTGCCTCCCCTAACCTAACCCATGGTTAACATAGTTAACACCTCTAGAGGAATAAAATTAACATCCCTGGAGGATTCTCTCCCAGAAAATTGTGTCCAAAACAACTTTCTGATTCCATTTGCATCCACAGAAAGAGAAGATTAAATCCTCTGTGGTTAAACACAACTTAAATGAAGTTGGTTGCAATAAACACATAAAAGCAGTTGAGTTATTTGTACTCACTACATAGAAATGGATAAAGGTCATAAACTGTATAAAAATTAGTGCATAAAACTGACTAATAAAAATATTGAGTAAAAAATAACTATGAAATTATGGAATTGATATTTGCACACTGTATAAAAATATTGACTCAATATTTGTACACATTGTATAAAAAGTATCGAATGATTGAATTGTTTGTACACACTGCACAAAAATTATTGAACTAATGAGAGATTTGTACACACTGTATAGAGACAGCTCTGAGCTGCTCCCAGGAATCAGCCAAGAACATTCCCAGATTGTCACTTTGATACTTTTGCAGTGAATCAAAATAATGAAAGATAAATTAAAAATCCCTTTTTTTGCTCAGAAGAGAAAAGGAAGCTAAACAGTTGTGCTTACAGAACAACCACACAAGAAATCCTGTCAAATAATCACCAGCTCAGGGCTT